TATATATATATATATATATATATATATAATATATATGAGGTATTGATTTCTATCAAGCCAACTTTATAATCTCAAGTCAATCCTAGTCAATTTATATTGTTGCTGATGACCCCTACCGTTTCTATATTTACAAACACACTGTGGGAATCTGTGTGTTTGTGTGTTTTTGACAGCCAGGGCCAGGGGCCTGTTTCAGAAAGGAGGTTAAGTGAAAACTCTGAGTATGTTAACCCTGAAATGAGGGAAACCCTGGGTTTTCCGTTTCAGAATGGGAGGTTTGTCAAACCCGAGAAAGCAGCGCAAGTCGAGCCCGTTTCTGAAAGAGAGGTAACTTATACTCAGAGTCAGTCACCGTAGTAACTTACTCTATGAACCTAACCTCGTCGGGAGCAGGTTTTCTTTGGTAAACCCAGAGATTCTTACGGTCTCCTCCCCCTTTTTAAAGCGTAAGCGATGTTTAAATACCTCATTCATTCATTCACGCTGCAAAAATGCTTTTCTTACTGAGTATTTTTGTCTTATTTCAAGTACAAATATTTTAAAATTCTTAGGTTAAGATGCAATTTCTATAGATTAAAAAAAAAAATTATATAAGGTATTTAGCCTTGTTTCCTGGGGGAAACAAGTGCATTTAAAGTGCATTTTACATAAAACATGTAAAATTGTCCGCCATAGGGCTAGAAAAATTACGGAAATGCAAACGGAAACAAGCATATTTTTAATTTCTTACCCCACTGGCAGATAATTAGCAAAATAAGAAAAATGCACTTAAATAATTTTTTCCCCCCATGGAAACAAGACTAAACACCTTATGTCTTTTTTATGTTGAAAATGCATATTGATTTAAGAATATTTAGATATTTTGACTGGAAACAAGAAGACAAAAATTCTAAGTAAGAAAAGCATTTTTCGCAGTGCAGGTATTCATTCATTGCGCATATTTTCATCATGTAGACACGGTCAAAGTGACAAAAATGGCATCTCCTTTTATACAGGATCCCGTAGACGAGGAGGCTGCATAAATTCGTAGGGAGTTTTTTGTTGTTGTTGCCATATTCACATGCATATTTATTTGATGGTAGCATTTTAAATAGTAGTTTTCTTTAAAACATTGGAGATGCAGAGCACATTAGTAAGGCCGCTGTATGCAGGCTGATAAGGAAAGTGTGCATTGCTCTCACGCTCTTTCTGATAATTTTTTCCTGGCCACAAATCCGTCAAAGAGGAGTTTCACTGGACTGTAGGTCAGTGGTGTAGAAATCGGTTTAAATGAGGCTAATCTGATAAATGATGTTCACTTGATAACATCTTGCTGCAACCTCTGGAAGTAACCCAATAATTAGAATTTTCTTCAGGATTTCCAGTGTGGTTGGATGCATTGATGACATGCATATTCCCATCATCGCACCTTCTGAAAATGAATCAGATTACTGTATGGAATGGAAGGATGCCAGATGGAGGGGTAGTACAAGATATATGCCGTAACCACCACCACAGCTGT